ATAATGGAAGCAGGTTTCCATTTAAAAGAGAAAGGGACTTGCAGGTGACCAAGGACATTCACAGGCAGAATGGAAAATGCCGTGGAGAGATACAAAAATATGATCAAGGGATCCTTGTCTAGGGCAGTGAACAGATTGGAAGGTGCTGTCACATGGTCTGAAACGATAGCTGTGAAAAATTTGCGCTCTGAACTGAGGTTAGAGAAGTGAACAGTGACGCACAAAAGCTCATACCCAGCCACAAATTTTGTTAGTCTTCAAGGTGTTGCTCTTTTTTCCTGCTCCACGGTGGTGTGTTTTGCCAGCACGGTTGGGCCAGAGGAAAAATTAGTGGGCAAGCAGGATGAGCTGTCCTGTAATTATAAAGGGGTTTCTCCTCCTTTCTTTCCCTTCCTTTTGCAGGGCTTTCTATTGGACTTTTTCTTTCTCTTTTTTTACCCAAAGTGTCTTATGGAAACATCTTCATGAGAATTGTGCACAAGTATATTTAATCTGGAAAGAATTCTATCAGAAACACTGGTTGAATATAATGGTTTTTGTGTGCAAATTTTAAATTGGGGGGGGGGACTAAAAGATTAGCCACAAGGTATAGATAGGGGCTCTGGGGCAAGTGATGCTCTGTCTTCTTGGTGCTTGGGGGGGGGGCAACAGTGGGAGGGCTTCTAATGTCCTGGCCCCACTGGTGGACCTCCTGATGGCACTGTTGGACTAGATGGGCCTTTGGCCTGATCCAACATTGGTGTCTCTTATGTTCTTATGTTCTTAGATTAAAAATAAGCCTTGGGGTATGTAGACATGCAAGAAGTTCCATGAAAACAGGAATTAGCCTACGGCTGCAGTCTTGTGAATGCTTATGAGCCAGCATGGTGTAGCATCTAGAGTTCTGGATGCTGACCCTAGAGCTGTCATCTTAAATCCACACTAAACCATGAAACTCACTGAGTGACCTTAAGCCAGTCACACTATTTCAGCCTTACCTACCTGAAAGTGGCTGTTGTAAGGATAACATGGGAATGGGAGTCTGTGGATGAACATGGTGAACATGATGATGGTCTTCCATGAATAACTGGGAAGGGTCAAGTAAGTAAGCTCAGCACAGTATCTAGATGGTATTTAACACCTTTAAAAATACACTATGGTCCCGGTCACACGCAGAAGTTGCTGCAGGAGAGCCACAATTGCCGGGCGGATTATACAGGCGTGATCACATGGAAACATCTGGTAAGCATCATGCATCCGTCGCCAACCAGTATCGTTCGGCAGTCGCATGGAAACAATGCCGTCGCATCTGATCGTGTTGGGCCGCGTCAAATTGCGATGGTGCAAATAGCCACGCCTCCCCCCACGTTATCTGGCCCGTGTGACTGGGACCTATATAACAAAAAATATATCTCCTGTGTGTTGGTGGGGTTGTGGGGGGAAAGGTACATACTGGCATACTTGGTGGTCATGTTAAAAAGTGCAGGTCTTTTGGAAAGACATCATACCTATTATTTATCAAATAACTATGAAAAACCCTTAGATCCGTATATATAAGTACTTAGTTTGTGGAGGGAACCAGCTTCTAAGATAAATAACAAAACTCTTCTAGAAAAGCTATGAGCAGCAGCTAGACTAACTATAGCTAAATTGTGGAAGAGCACTAAACCATTATTGATTGCTGGCTGGATATCTAACTCTGTATATTAAATAAAATAGCAGAATCCCTTGTACAAAGAAATAATGAGGAATATCAGTCAAAAATATCAGTTTCGATATGGTTCTCCTTTTTTGAATACCTTTTGTTAAAAGAAGAATTTTCATTGAGCTTAGATACAGCTATTGGAATGGGCGGGGTAAAAATCTAATAAATAAATATAAATATACTTGATTATGTATGTTATGCCATTAAAGGTCGGAATTGAATTGAATGCAGTATAACTTTTTTGTTGTTATTTAACAAGTTTAACTGTTACCAATATCTGTAGTCTAGAAATACGTTGTAAACTATATTTTTATCTGTAATGTAGAGTACTGTATCTTGTTTATTAATTTCAATTGATTTTTTTAAAGTAAGCTCAGCACTGGTGGTGGGACTTTAACCCCTGTATCATTCTTATTCTCCGGGTACCCCAGGCTAGGAAGTTAAGCCCCGGTTAGTATTTGTTGGGAGACCACCAAGGAAGTCCAGGGTTGCTGCACAGAGGCAGGCATTGGCAAACCACCTCTGATCGTCTCTTGCCTTGAAAACCCTATGGGATTGCCATATGTTGGCTGCAGCTTGATGACAAAGAAGCCCCAAACATTCTCACAGTCTCAGTAGGGTCTCCAAGCTTTTCTCTGTTCTGGGAGTGAGGGTCAGTTTGTGTACCACATGGTGCCTATCTGCTTTCCCTCCAGTGGGCAAATTGCAACTCCAGGGGCCAACTCAGATTGCAAAAACTGAGATTGCAAAGAGTGCAGGATGAATTGTGTGTTAAAGCCCACACCTCAGTACACATGCACACAGTACCACAATCTAAGTTTGGGAGCCTGGAGATTGGGGGAGTCAGGAGATCCACTCGCAGGTACCCTGTTTCCCCAACTAGTTTGATCCTTTTAAAAAATACAATAAAACTGCGAGAGGCTTGGAGCACCAAATGTAAAACTGGAATTCACCAAACAGCTGCCTAAAGAAGCATATACAGTTTTCAGGACAGGAAATAGTTGTCTGGCATTAAGTGACACGTTTGCTCTTGTGCTGTTTAGAACTGTTAATGGAGCATCTCCAAGAAATTCGAATGCTGAGGCACCAGCTCGAAGAATCCATTAAAACCAATGATCGCTTGAGAAAGCAGCTCGAGCAGCAGGTGGCGGACTCTGCCCTGGACCAAGGTAACACGTTTTGGGACTATGGCATGAAGTCAGAGGGAAGCAGAACTATGCAGGGGCTGGACTCCTGGGTAGACAAGATCCCCAAGCCTGAATGCAGTGTAAAGGAATGAACTTAATATTTGAGTTATGGACTATGTTTATTGACACACAATGGACTGTGCACACATACACACACACATAGGCTCAGAAAGCTGTACAAGTCACCTATTGAAGGTGCATGCATAAGCCTTAACATGTGGGCAAGTGGGCGTCAACATGGCAAATGGGGTTCAATGTGGCCAAGTGCAAGGTGATGCACATTGGAGCCAAAAATCCTAAATATAAATACACGTTGATGGGGTCTGAACTGGCAGAGACTGAGCAAGAGAGAGATCTTGGAGTTGCACTAGATAACTCACTGAAAATGTCGAGACAGTGTGTGACTGCAATAAAGAAGGCCAATGCTATGCTGGGGATTATTAGGAAGGGTATTGAAAACAGATCAGCCAATATCATAATGCCACTATATAAATCAATGGTGCAACCTCATTTGGAATACTGTGTGCAATTCTGGTCACCACACCTTAAAAAGGATATTATAGCTTTGGAAAAAGTGCAGAAAAGGGCAACTCGAATGATAAAAGGGTTGGAACACTTTCCCTATGAGGAAAGGTTAAAGCGCTTAGGGCTCTTTAGCTTGGAGAAAAGACGACTGAGGGGTGACATGATCGAGGTTTATAAGATTATGCATGGGAAAGAGCAGGTAAAGAAAGAGGTACTTTTCTCCCTTTCTCACAATACAAGAACTCGTGGGCACTCCATGAAACTGCAGAGCGGTCGGGTTAGAACGGATAAAAGGAAGTACTTCTTCACCCAAAGAGTGATTAACACATGGAATTCACTGCCACAGGAAGTGGTGGCAGCTACAAGCATGGACGGCTTCAAAAGGGAATTAGATAAGCATATGGAGCAGAGGTCCATCAGTGGCTATTAGCCACAAGGTATAGATAGGGACTCTGGGGCAAGTGATGCTCTCTCTTCTTGGTGCTTGGGGGG